GTAATAAAGTGCAGCAGCAGCAGAGGTGGAGGAGCTGCTGGTGATGAGCTGCTTCCTCTCCTCTGGGTGATGTCTGCAGAGTCTGCTTGGTTTGGACCATTTTCTCTGCTCTGAATGGATTTGGATCTGAGTGGATTTACTCTTGATCTGTTTGGTTCAGATCGTGCATTCTCTCTGCTCTGGGAGAAAAATAACAATTGTAAAACAACTGTTTCAGAGCTACTTAGGTCTCGCTGTCGTTTCCAGTGCATTCAAAAGTCATTGATGTGACGCATTTGAACAAAAAAGATTGTGATGTTTTGGAAACTTTTGAAATAAATACATCTAGAGAATAAGAACCAATAAAACAACTATTTACAACGATCCATTGTCCTTAGTTTCCTGTGTCTGAACTGTTGCCAAATGTAAAATCTGTTGTATATTGTGTGTTTTGCTGCATGGTGTGTTAAAGTGACAGTGAGGTCACCAGTAGCTGCGTTTCCATTTAATAATGCGCAAAAACTTTTTCGATACATTGCAAAATTCGAAAAACCTGTAATTCGCAAAAGCGACCGTTTCCATTAAGACATATTCGAATAAGTATACACTATTTTCGCACGTTTATTCACTAGTTTCTAGTACGTCAACATGGCAACAGAAGTAAACAACAGTTTGATATACGTGCGGTGGTTCTCATCATCAACCGGATTAAGCGTCGGTGGCATCTCCTTCTAGTGTAATGGAGCGGCGATCTCCGTATACTTGGAGAGGATGCAAACATGTTTTGATACATATAGAAAAATCTCTCTTGAATTGTAGAAGTGAATAAATATAGATTGATTGAATAATGAATGAATTCATATTTATTATGCAGCGGTGGCTCTGAATGAAGCGTCTACAGCGTCTTTTTTGCGGTCCAGATTTTACAAAGAAACTCTGGAGCCAAAACTTCTGCACATGTGAGGAGTTATGTGGCCGACCTCTCATGGCAACTGCTCTGCATGCACTGCCAAGAGTGCGCAGCGGGTGGACAGGGCAGTGAGACATTTGGAGTGAGAAATACCATAGTCCATCAGCGCGTTATTGGGGTGTGTGTATGTGTGAGGCTCACACAAATCTAATGAAAACATACATTGCTTTACCATGTGAGGAATACAAATAGCCGTGCGTAATTACGCAGCGCAGAGCCTGCCACAGCAATAGCTGGGTCACACTTCCCTGTCGCGTAAAGTGTATATAGACCCTTTCACAGTCCAGGATCACAAAGCGCTTCACATTTTAAAAACATACAGATCAAAATAATACACACAGAAGTCAGATTTATAATCATAGTAACAGAAGAGGCTCCTCATCATGATCTGTGATTTATTCGAAGTTTGCGTGTTTCCAGAGTGTTAGACTTTTTCTGATGCTCAAATTTTAAAACACGATGCTCAATGAAAACACAGCTTATAATTTTGCCAGAGGGAATATGTTTATTGTTGTCAAAATTTTGAATTCCATTGCGTGTTTTGGCGTGTTGTGCCGAAGGTTGAGATCAGCGTATAGATTTACACCCCCTCCAGACCTGGCGTATATTTTTTGCGTATTGTACGCTTACGTCCAGATAGATAAATGCGGAAAAGTGTAATATTTTGCGTACGCCTCATTTACCCTGATTTGTCCGTACGCAGGTTTCATACATGAGGCCCACAGTGTGTCTCACACACAGGCCTAGAGTTTACCTCATCAGTGCGAGGTGAACCTGGCCTGACTGCGCTCTCCTCCTCTGGGACCTACGGGCCCGGGCCTCTGGCTCCTCTACCTCACGAAGTTCACGCTGAACTTTCTTAAAACTAAAATGATAAAGGCTGCTCCGTTGTGAATGTTTTGAGTGCGTTGTCAATCTTTAAGACGAGGAATAACTGTTGTTCTCGGGAACGAGCTTCGCGCTGTGTGATATGATCATGCAGATTATTGGACAAAATTGTTCAGCCAATAAACAGGACTATATTAGAAGCAACGTAGGAACGTGATGACGCTCAGGGGGTTATATTTTCTAAAAACATTAGAACACAACATTTAGGCAATAATGTGTGTATAAAAATAACAAGCGTAAAATTTGCCACGGCTTTTCGTACCCTGCCTCATTCATTTCTCTTTCCAGGTCTTTATAAATCTTTGCGTTCCTTTGCTGCTTTGTGTCCAATATGTTTGTAATCCCCTTTTCCCGAATTAAATTGAAAAAGTAATTAGTTTCCTCGTGTGTCCAAACGTAGCGAGTCATGTTTTGTTTCCTTGAGATGCTGCTACCTGCTACTTTCTGTTTTCTTCTTCTGTTTTTGGGTTTCTCAACACCCGGCTTCCTCCGCTATATCGAAATAAGTGTTTCCATTGCCGTTTTGCGAAAAACTTAATTTCGATACGTCCAAAAAACCACCGATTTTAAGCGCATTAACTTTTTATCGAAAAACTGTAATAAATTCGAAATTTGCGCGTTTCCATTAGACATTTTAAGATGCGCAAATTCAAATTTCGAAATTTGATGCTTAATGGAAACGCAGCTAGTGTGTGTGTGTTCTCAGACTTCTGTGACGTCTCTCTGGATCCAAACACGGCCAATAACACTCTGCAGCTGAGTGAGGACAGAAGGACAGTGACCAGAGTGGAGGCGCTGCAGCTGTACCCCTCTCACCAGGACCGCTTCAGCTCCTGCCCACAGCTGCTGAGCTCCACCGCCCTCACAGGACGCTCTTACTTTGAGGTGGAGTGGAGCGGAGATGTAGCTATAGCACTGAGTCACAGAGGAATCGGACGCAGAGGAGACCTGGACCAGTGTCGCTTTGGGGACAATGATCAGTCCTGGAGTCTGAGGATCGAAGGAGACGGGAGCTCTTTTTATCATTGTAAAAGGAAAACACAAGTGTACGAGGACTACTTGACACAAAGAGTAGGTGTTTTCCTGGACTCTGAGGCTGGAGTTCTGTATTTCTCTCAGGTTATAACCAATTCATACTGGCTCCCCTTCCACTCCGTCAGCGTCTCCGTCTCAGAGCCGTTGTTTGTTGGGTTCAGTCTGGAGCGTCCTGGTTCCTCTGTGTCTCTTCTGGACTTTGAAGACTTGACAAAACTCTATTTTAATGATTTTTTATATTTGAAACACATCGCTCAGAGCTTGCTCTTCCTGCTCTCCTCGAGGTCAGACGTGTCTCTCCTGCTCTGCTTGCCCTGACTGTCTTTTTTCCTAGACTTCTGCCTGTATACAACTTGAAAAATGATGGAATTAATCAACTGGTCCCTCAACGCAATTGATACTATTTTTTCATCACGTAAAGGCGGTTCTGGAGATGCCGTTTGCCCGGATGGTACGGCGGCTGCTGGGTACGTTTTTGACAACTGGCAAAAGTGGCACCCCGTTTGTCTGTCGGGACTGTCCATCGAGGACATTGAGGATATATACATTTTTGGATTTATGGTAGCAGGGTTCCTCCTGATTGGATTTGGAGTTGGCTTGATCTACCGCAAAGTTGGAGGGCTGTCCACTCAGAAGATTTACGAGCGGCTGTCCGCGGAAAACAAGGAGAGTTTCCGCGAGTTGGTCAGAGTCGTGGTCGAGGGCACAGTGGGGACACAACGGGGTGTGAGTCGGATCGAACATTCCCTTAACGACCTGGGAGTGAGATCTTTGGATGGACTTAAACGCGTGGAAGGATTGATTGAAGGACTTGGGCCTCACGGTGGAACCTCGTACTGACGTGGTCAACTCCGGATAACGGTGAACGGAGGGTCCAGTTCCAGTATAATTTGGACATATTGGCTTTAGTTTACACTGCCTTTCATTGATCAGCTAAAAGTGCTTATTCAAATTTCCCACAAGGGCATGTGTTGTTTTGTCTCCAATGTTTGCAGGCACCTGCGCTATCTTTGTCCTTCACATTCCACCACCACACACGGCCACTCAAGGCTGACACTGGACTCTTATCTATCTCAGACTCACAACCCAGAACACCAGTTACAGTCCCCCCCCCCCCCCCTACATGTCTGCCTCTCTCTCTTTTTCAGTCTATGGTGGTCTTCCCCTCCACCTCCCCCACCCACACTCCCCTCTGACGCGCTATATTGGACGAGGCGGGCCAGAGTGATGACTTCCCATTAAAAAGATCCGCATGTTTTTCCACATGTACCGTGTCTCTCCCCATGTTTGTTGAAATATATGTCTGTTTTGCTCTATGCTGTTGAATAACTGTTATTCTACTGTTTGTCGCATGGCGCCGTAAAAATGGCGCCGTGGCAAGAGCTCTGGTGTGTGTCGTCTTCTGGTGCACACCGGGGTAGTCTTGCACAGTTTTCCAATGTGGTTTTACTGCAAATGGCAAATAAATGAATCTGAATCTGAATCTGAAGTAAGAGTAAAATAGTATATAAATTATTTTTTATGTCGTCTGTTAACAGCAGAATTAAGTTTATCAAAGTCTCATGAACATGAGGGGGTGTAAAACGGCGGTGCTCACACTTTATCCAAACATCTACTTTTCCAGTAACCAGTGAGCGGAGATTCAGCTCAGATTAAATGTGGGAAATGATTCAGAACAACTGAAGCCCTGTATCTTTTTAATGTGATTATTCATGATTTGAATGTCTCTTCTTCAGCACTTTGAGTTGTGTATGAACTGTGCTATACAAATAAAGCTGCCTTGTGTGCATGTGTGCAGTACGAGTTCACTGACTCCAGAAAGTGCTGTCAAAGCTGCGGTGATCTGCGGAGACTGAAACAAAAAAACATTCACTGTTGACGCGTTTAGAGAAATGGCCGCCCGGGCTTCTACATCCACATATTGAGCTCCTCTTCAAACATAGAGCTGCTACTTTCACATTTCCCTGATTGTGGCTCATTTTTAGAACACAACCCTGCGATAAACGAGTGACCACTGGATCTAAATGAACCACAATATTTGAAAGGACGTTTAGCTTTTTATTTGGCCGCACATTTAAACACTGGCTTCTTCCGGCATGATTGAGTCCGTGTGGAGGTCTTGAGTCTTCTACTGGTCCAGGTCTAGAATCTGAGGAGGCTTCGCTGGAGGCTCTTCTTCTTGGCTGCTCTCCTGCAACAATCAAAGTTTCATAAATAAATATACAAACAAATAACATCAAGAATCATTTAATGGTTAACACATTAAATCTATTAAAGCTCAACAAAACACGTTTATAACTTCCAGCTTAATCAAAGGATCCGAGATGGAGACATCTTTGAATAGCACAAGAACGTTACGTACTTTGAGCACGTTTAATTATAAGAATAGAAGAAGAAACTACAAGAGAAGAACTTTCCCCGAATACTGCTGTATGTCCTTTGTGTTTGTGGATTATGTCTGTGATGCAGCCTCCTTTACCCTCAGCACCGTCTCAATAAAAACCCAATTGTTTTTGCAGCGATCCGATTCCAAAATGACCAATAATGAGAAGAGACTTTTAAAAAGAGTGGAATAAGAAATGCTGAACAAACGCACAGTGATTCTGCTCGTATATTGTGTAGCGGCCTGAACCTTTTTGCCAAAACAACTCATATTTAACTTGGATTGAGAGTTTTAAAACGGTGGCGGCAGGCCTGCACTGCTGGCCTAAACATGATTACACTTACACACACTATATATATAATAATTTAAAATAATCTTTCTTATTTTTTGTTCTATGTTTATTTTTTCACAAACTACGTTGGTTGCCTAGCTTCCAGCTTCAGGTCGACATTTGGGAGGTCTAGCGTCTAACTAGTTTTTTTTATCCGATCGACACGCATTTTCACACAGTCTCTCCTGCACTTTCGTATTCTCCGCTGTGTTAAAACTGTCATATAAACCCCGGACCGTGGTATATCCTACAGGTACAGCTCTCTTCTGTCCTGACCCTCGCTCTCAGTGTGGTGCTAATGCAACAATCAATCAATCAATCTTTATTTATAGGGCGCTTTTCCTGCACAGGGCAACACAAAGCGCCTTCAGACATTCAAGAATCAGTCTTTATTTAACACCAGAAGACACACAAGCACGCACGCTCCGGTCGCCCGTAGCCACTTTTCTGTTTTCAGTCATTCATTCTCAGCGCTTTACGCTCGTGACTATAAAGGCGCGGCCCCGTGTCCGCGGCGCGCCCACACACACAGACACACATGTGTCCCACTGCTGCATTTTGGTGAAAGACCATGGATTATAAAGACATATCTATCTCTCACTTGTTCACGTTGCTCTGATGCAAACAACGCGTTGCATGCTCGAGCCTGCTAGCTGCAGTAGCAGAATGTAAACAGGAAAAAAGCGGACACTCAGCTCGGACAACGTGCTATGACCCAGAATCTGCCTCTGGGCCTGTAGAGGCAACATTGGCCCACGGTAATAGTAAGTAAGTAAGTAAGTAAGTTTTTATTTATATACCGCCTTTTCACTGCAGATCTGAGTCTCAAAGCGGTTTACAATTGTTAATTTTTGGGCATTTGTCTCTCACTCCACACAGAGATGGGAGCAGGGCCAGTACAGGAGGCGCATGCCAGAACTATTGGACATATTTTTAGTGGTAGGGGAAACCGGAGTACCCGGAGGAAACCTACGCAGACACAGGGAGAACATGCAAACTCCACTCAGAAAGGCCCTGGTCCGACCGGGATTCGAACCCAGGACCTTCTTGCTGAGAGGCGAGAGTGCTATCCACTCAGCCATCGTGCCGCCCTGGTAATCAGTGTCAAGTATACTTCGTCAAAGCCAGCTAGCAGGTCCTGCGCGGCGACAGAGCCTGCACCTCTTTTGATTGGATATACAATACAGAGAGACGTGACAATGCAGACCATGGATCTACATTCATGTGATAAACAGAAACAAACACAAATGCTGATACGAGTAGCACAACAACTTGATTTAGTTTTTCAACCCTCTACGACTGAAGGAGGTGAATATATATCATTTTGGTAACTAAATAGCTAGAATGCCTTTCTCAAGAAAAACAGAGACCGGTATGGCGCCAGATTCATGACTAAAGTCCACATGCGCAATTAATACAAACACGCGCAGCTTTCACACGCGCACAAACTACTCTCCACGCGCAGATTCAGTACCAAGAGCAACAATACGTGTGTGTGAGCGCTCGTGACTTACATTCTCCCTTCATGTGGTCTGTTCTGTGCGCGTTGAAAACTGTTGACATTTCTTCTACGCGCGTGAAAGACTTTTGTCGCTCGTGGCGAGAGAATCTGCGTGTGTGTGGCGTGAAATATGCGCACTAAAAAAGTTGGAGAGCGCTGGGTTAGGACATCACTGCAGGCGCGGGTCTGAAATGCACAGACCGCCACTGGTTTCGAATCCATCCGTTTACATTCACACACATGAACAGAGACACAACAGATCTTTTTAGTGCAATTATGTCCAGACTGAGGTCATCGTTACAACACTGTGCAGAAGTGCAGTGAAGGCGGCTCATTGTTTCAGACTAGTACATTGTACTAGTACTGCCAGATCTGCAGTGGATCAGAAACATATGAGGAGAGTGTGTTGAATAGTTCTTTGAGCACTGACCGGGGCGGGCGGACTCAGGGCCGTGGAGCCGTCGTACAGAGGGTTAGGGATGGACACAAGAGCAGGCCTGACCCTGTTGGACGCTCCATCCTCATCCTCATTCTGAGACAAAACAGATTATGTTCTCAGTCAGTTTTTCAGATTCAGATAGTAATATAAAGGAAAGTGGAGTAGCGTAGAGTAGTGGTTAGTAAATTAGCGCACAGTAAAGTAGGGTACAGTAACGTACAATAAAGTAGTGCGTGAAGTAGCATACAGTACAGTAAAGTAGCGAACAGTACAGTGAAGTAAATACCAAACAGAAACATAGGTGATATGATATGAAGTGGAGCCCATACAAACATATGAACCCAACACAGTGGTCCCTCGTTGATTGCGGGGATTACATTAAAAAAATAAGCCTCAAAAAGTGTAACCCGGAAGTATTAGCTGTAGGTTTTATGGCTGAAAAACCTCACACACACTTTTCTAACCACCTAAACTCTGACTGCTGAAGTGTGACCGCATCTAAATTCATTACACAGATCTACACAAATGTTTTGTAGACACTATTATCTATAAACATCAAACTTGTCGAATGGTGGAAGAGGGCGAAGGGGGTTGGAGCGGACAATGTTTGTGACGCTCACTCTGAAATAGTGGAAGCGGAAAGCGTTGGTCTTGTGTTTGAAGACGTAGTATCCCACTGTTCCCACCACACACGCCACAAACACGGAAACCAAGATGGCCGCCGCGGACGAGCTGGAGTGGTGCGACCGCCGCGACGAGTGAGAGACCTGACAGAAGGACAGATATTTCATACTCACGATCATCACCATAACCAAGTCTTTATTCAGGACAAAATACACAGAAAACATAATTATTATGTAAAAAAAATTTTTTTTTGACAACATTGACTTTGTTTTACACAAACTTAAAGGGCACATGTCACGCTTTTTGACTTTCTCTGATTTAAACATGATTACAGTGCTACAGTGCCTCATACACATGCCCAGAATAGTTTTTTCATTGATTCTGTCAATCTTTAGTTAGAGAGATCTGTCTCCTTCAGCCTCGAGAGGCAGTGAAACGCCCGGGTACATTTCTGTGACGATTACCACTCTGATGACGAATATGCCGCGGATAAGCCTGTTTGCTTTGTATTTAAAATGTTTTTTTAAATACTTTTGTCAAAACAGGGGAAACGATACACAATGGGCCTCATTTATGAAACTTGCTTACGGCCAAATCAAGGTGTAAATATGTGACGTATGGTGGACACGGCTCTTCCTACAAGCCCAAAGCCCCCATCTGTGCCGATGACAACAGGCTGGCTAACGACCTGAACCTTTTTTTCAGTCGCTTTGACGCCGCACTGGACACCTCCCCCACCCCCCACTACTCTAACGACCCACCCATCAGCTCTGCCCCCACCCTGAAAATTGCTCCAGAAGACACCAAACGACTCTTCTTGAGGCTGCACCCCCGCAAAGCCCCCGGCCCAGACCACGTGTCTCCGGCCACTCTGAGATACTGCGCCAGTGAGCTTACTCCTGTGTTCACTGACATTTTCAACTCCTCTCTGCAGTCCTGCCATGTCCCGGCCTGCTTCAAATCCTCCATCATTGTCCCCGTCCCGAAGAAGCCCAGGATCACAGGACTCAACGACTACAGACCTGTAGCACTTACGTCTGTCGTCATGAAGTCATTTGAACGCCTGGTCCTGTTCCACCTCAAGTCTTTCACCTCCCCCCAGTTCTTCTACAGAGCCAACAGATCTGTAGACGACGCCATTAACCTGGCCTTTCACCACATCCTACAGCATCTGGACTCCCCAGGGTCCTGCTCGTGGACTTCAGCTCTGCTTTCAACACAATCCTGCCATCCCTGCTCCAGGACAAGCTCTCCCAGCTCAACGTGCCCGATTCCACCTGCAGGTGGATCACTGACTTCCTGACGGACAGGAAGCAGCGAGTGCGTCTGGGGAAGAATATCTCAGATATCTCAGCCTTCCATCGCTGCAGGACCTGTACGTCGCCCGAGCTCGAGGCCGGGCTGGTCGTATCACAGCCGACCCCTCTCACCCTGCACATGGACTATTCCAACCACTCCCCTCTCACCCTGCACATGGACTATTCCAACCACTCCCCTCTCACCCTGCACATGGACTATTCCAACCACTCCCCTCAGGCAGGAGGCTGCGGTCCATCAGGACTAGAACCTCCCGCCACAAGAACAGTTTCTTCCCCTCTGCTGTTGGACTCTTGAACACTTCTTAACCTGTCCCCCCGCCCTCTAGAAGTCCCCTTACACATACGTCACTTTACTGCTGTCACCTTATATCGTGTGCACCATGTGCACTTGTATATTGTATATAGTAATTGCAATCGTAATAATTCTATTTTAAATGTATTCCTTAGAAGTGCTTCTTTTTTTAAAATTGTTATTATGCCTACTCTACTCTTTACCTCTCTTTCTGACTGTTGCACTGAGCCAAAGCAATTTCCAAGTCTGTGACTTCCTGTTACTTAAGTGGCAATAAAAATGATTCTGATTCTGAAATTACACTTTTCAGCATTTATCAATCTGGACGTGAGCGTACGGTACGCACAAAATATACAAAAACGAAGAAATGGAAGAAAGTTCTCATCATGATCTGTGATTTATTCAAAATTTGCGTGTTTCCAGAGTGTTTTTCTGATGTGCAAATTCAAACTTTGAGACATGATGCTCAATGAAAACGCAGCTTATAATTTTGCCAGACTGGGAATATGTTTATTGTTGTCCAAATATTGCATTTCATGCGTGTTTTGGTGTGTTGTGATGAAGGTTGAAATGAGCGTACACATTTACACCACCTATTGACCTGGCGTATATTTTGTGCGTACCGTACGCTCACGTCCAGATTGATAAAAGCCGAATAGTGTACATTTTTGCATACGCCTCATTTACACGCTGATTTGGCCATACGCAAGTTTCATAAATGAGGCCCAAAATGTTTTGTGTGTAAATATGTGACGCACTATAGAGGAAGCAATTTTGTTCATGTGGATCTGCCTCTGTTTGAATCTGTTCATCTGCAACACTTCACTGAGACTGTTCCAGAACCACAAGGACAATGGAACTGGAGTTACTCAAAAACTGACCTGGAAACCAGTGAATACATCTGTAATCATTTATTATTCTCATTACAAAACTCTTATCTTTTGCATACTTAGGAAAGAGCCAGTCCCTACTTTTCCACTTTTCTGTCTGAAAAGTGGATCTGCACCTGTGGACTGTCTCTCCCTCTGGACTCATTAACTTATTATGTTTCTAGTCTGTATCCTCTGCAGATTTCTTTTCCTAAATTATCTTCAAATCTGTGCTACTCTGCATCATCTCGCGCAAAAAAACAATTAGATTCTACGGTTGGGAACAATCACACGTATGTCTCCTGCTGCGAAGCTCTACAGTGATCCATCACTGAGTGTGAGACTCACCGATGGAGGAGGGGCAGTGAGCGGACCCTCGATCACGTGGATGAGGCCGTTGACCGCAGGGATGTCCCAGTCCAGCAGGAGGCGCCGGTTCACCAGTTTCGTGTTCTATGTACAAACAAGAAGCAGTGTTGTGCGTGAACGAGTTCAAAAGAACGCGTTCATTGAACACGCTCATTTTTTTGTGAACGTTGAACTGAACGCAACACATTTTTAAAAAAAGAACTTGAACGTGAATTAGTTCATGTGTCATGAACGGCAGACATCACTGTGAACGTTGGAATCTGTTTTCTCTTTTGAAACGCAACGAGAGAAAGTTCCTCCCTCCTGTATTCTCGCACTTTTTCCGCCTAAATCTAAAAATTCCTACGGTTTACACTGTCTGTGAACGCACCCCGACTCTGTGTTGCGGTGCAGCGCTGTGAGCTGGTGCTTTTCACATGTGCCCGAGTCGTGATGAAAACATAGGGTGAGTTAGCGACAAAGTTTACACGGTTTACATTTGACATAAAGTATAGACACACGCACTACAGCGCATTACTGTCTGTAGTTTATGAGCAGAGATGGAGCCACTCTGTTTGGCTCCCATTGAAAACCATGTAAATCTTGTCTGTTTTGTAGTCAAAAGGCTCTCCCCCTGTGGGTGTACAGGAGATATATATATTAGCTCGTAGTGTGAAAAAAATATGTATTTAAGTATCTCACGAAAAAAGTAAAATGAACTGAACTTTGAACTAGTTCAGAATTAAAAATGTGAACTTTGAACGTGAACTGTTCACTTTGAGCATGTATGAACTGAACTTGAACTAGTTCAGAAAAGCTGTGAACTGGAACAACACTGACAAGAAGCATTACAAGTATACAGGGATCAAGACTTCCGAGCTTCTGGCTCGACCGCACGGCATTGTGGGTAGTCTTCTCAAAAAAGTGGGCATGAAATCACGCTCTCCTATTAGATTACCTGTTACGAGCGTGATCTGTTTCTTGTTTCCAGCCCATCAATTGTTTTAATTGCTACAAAAATCACCAATTTCAGACATTAGAAGATAAGGTAAAGATTTTTTCATGTAACAAAAAAGTAATGCATTTTTTTCTTGTGGTTTTAAACACAACCGACTGACTATAGAGCTACATGCAGCTTATGCTACTTACGAGGATTGAATGCTTACACGAGAGCTTTATAAACTTACCCAAAGCTGTACTTTGGACATATTTGTCTGGTGTGGAGCTTCTGAATGTAGAAAAGGCCAAATACCTGGAGCACGTCATCAGGAGTGACCTCAGTGAAGACGATGACATTCAGAGGCAGTGCTGTAAGCTGTATGGACAGGCTAACACTTAAGCACGGAGATTTCACATGTGTACAGATAAAGTGAAAATAACTTTGTTTAAAGCCTACTGCACACCTCTCTATACTGCACACCTCTCTATACTGCACACCTCTCTATACCGCACACCTCTCTATACCGCACACCTCTCTATACTGCACACCTCTCTATACTGCACACCTCTCTATACTGCACACCTCTCTATACTGCACACCTCTCTATACTGCACACCTCTCTATACTGCACACCTCTCTACTCTCTATACTGCACACCTCTCTATACTGCACACCTCTCTATACTGCACACCTCTCTACTCTCTATACTGCACACCTCTCTATACTGCACACCTCTCTACTCTCTATACTGCACACCTCTCTATACCGCACACCTCTCTATACTGCACACCTCTCTATACTGCACACCTCTCTACTCTCTATACTGCACACCTCTCTATACCGCACACCTCTCTATACTGCACACCTCTCTATACCGCACACCTCTCTACTCTCTATACTGCACACACCTCTATACTACCCGCTCACTGTTTGTTCTTAATAATGTCCCCACTCTGAATGCTCTGATCAGAAATGTTATTTATAAGTTCATGAAACGCTCTGAGGGCTCTATGTCCAAAGTACAGCTTTGGGTAAGTTTATAAAGCTCTCGTGTAAGCATTCTATCCTCGTAAGTAGCATAATCTGCGTGTAGCTCTATCGTCAGTCGGTTGTGTTTACATCTAAAACAACAAGAACAAAAAATGCATTGCTTTTTTGTTACATGAAAAAATCTTTACCTTACCTTCTAAATGACTGAAATTGATTTAATCGCTACAAAAATCACCAATCGATGGGCTGGAAGAAAGAGAGACAGATCACGCTAGGGCTGGGCGATAAAACGATGACGATATATATCGCGATAGACATGTGTTCGATATCAATAGAGAATGGGGTCGATAGAATGTTCGATAGTTTAACTTAACTCCGTCAGGAAAAACAGGAAGAAAACACCGGAAGTAAAGCCGACTCATAAGCGCATGGCATTGTGGGGGATGTAGGCAGAGGCTTCTCGACCAATAACAGCCAAGCAGGAACCGCAAAACTTTCTGGGAAATGCAAAAACACCAACAACCGCAGCATGCGTAGCGTCCATGGATCTATAGCTCGTGTTTCAATGCCGTGTGAATGGTTATGCACGTACGTGCGCGGAATAACATGTGCGGCGCCAGAGGCAGTGGACAGACACCATGTATTCGGCAAAAGCAAGAGATTCACTTTTTCCTCGGGAAGCATGTGCGGCACAGAGAGCCGCACGGAGCGGCCACGGGGACACAAGACCCTCAACCAGCTAAACCAGGAGCTAAACCAGGAATAAAAAACCAGGATTAAACCAGGACTAACAACGAGGGACACAGTGTGAACATATTCCTCCAGCCTCATCGCCCCGTGACTGTAAACAAGGCTGCTAAGGTTGGTTAGCCCACACAACAAATATATTTATTTAGGTAAAAAAAAAAAAAACTCAATATATATCGTTATTGACCGATATGAATGACTTATATCGTGATATAGTTTTCAGCCATATCGCCCAGCCCTAGATCACGCTCGTAACAGGTAATCTAATAGGAGAGCGTGATTTTATGCCCACTTTTTTGAGAAAACTTCCCACAATGCCGTGCGGTCGAGCCGGAAGCTCGGAACTCTTGAGCTCCCTGTATTACAAGACGGTCCCGACCTGCTTTATGATATAAATGCTAGCTATTTAGCATTTAGCCTAGCTTTAGCCATCTCCTTTGCCACTAACAGAGCCCGTGGAGAGTAGAGTCACAACATCTTTGCAGCAATGACATTTGCTAAATGTTCCTCTTGCTCTGGCTTCAGTTTCTTGATATTTGGAGCCAAACCAGAACGGATTACTTTGCCATTCTACAACCTGCAAATTCAGCGCAAACTCTTGACGTTACTGACACCTCCCTACAACACCTCCCTCCCCCGCTCGCTGGGGAAGGGAGGGAATGAACTTGAACATTCACTGACATTTCATGTTACAGAATTTGTGACCTGCCTGATGGTCAAAAATGGAGCTATCGCCGCCGTTGGGTATTTTATTGTCCAAAAGCAATTAAAAATATGTTCGAACATGCTAATAAACGCAAGTAAGTAGTCATTTATTTAGCGTCTCTCACAAACTGGGAGTCACAAAACACTTTGCAATTGTTGTGGGAATTTCCCTCTCACTCAACACTGGTGTAAAGAAAAAGTTAATAATAGTTTATGTATGTATATAAATAAATAAATATATAAACATTTGAAATTCAAAATCGACTGCAGAAATGTCAAGCTAAAGATAATAAACATGTTTGAAAAGACAGAAAAGATCAGAGAGAAACAGTACAAAGGGGACAGGGCGATAAAAATACCATGGATTTTGGGCGTGGTCATACCTGGTCGTTGCCGTGGGTGACCGTGAGATTAAACCCGATCTTGGACACAATTACGTCATGATGTTTCAGCTCTGAAAAGGATCGTCTGCTGTGATTGGTCGAGATGTGGTACTCCAGGTCTCTCCCGGTCAAAGTCTGCAGCAAAAACTGTTTTATTCATATTTTTAAATCAAGAACAAGCAACATGAAAAAGGCGTTAATATTGAACTATAACTCAAATGGTAAGAATCACAATGGAGTTTTGGTGATTTTCAACTTAAGTTTGATACGAGTCACCAACTTTCTGTTTCGATGGTGTAGGACTGAGGTTTGATTATTATTTCTAAGATTGTTAAATACTTTCCATTATAATTATTAGTTTGGACACATTTTAAATAGAGAATCAGACAGATAGCCGGGCTCTGCCAGACCCTTGTAGTTCCGCCATGCTCCACCAGAGGCGTTTGGCTGAACCACATGGGTCTGGTATCGACGCCATAGCGAACGCCTTCCCCAGATTATTTTTTAATCGACCAATCAGGATTGCCGGTGTTACGTGGGGTTTGCACTGCCTTCTCAAGCTTCTCTCATGGGTCGGCACCAGTGGAGGCGGGTCCCAGCTCAAAAGTGGCCAAAATGATGTGCGCTGACATGCTGCAATACCACCCCGGGCCGATGGGGGTGGACCCAGAAGTAGAATTAGCCAATGCTAACATATAGCACATTTTTTGGCCCATTAGTTAGAACGGCGGAGATAGGCGTGACTCTGTCCGTTAATATATACAGTATATGGTCGGCACTAGATGATATACGGAATCGGGACGAAACCAGAAGTAACAATGCTACTTTCGAATTATTTTTAGACTAAAAAGTCCTTAAATGGTGACTGGTTAAGTTTTAGGTGTCTGGGTAAGATGGTTAAGGTTAGGGTTAAGGCTGGGTTGGGGTTATTTTATGGGAATGGCTGGTTAAGTTTAGGCATGAATAGGTAGTTTGTTATATTTACTTCCGCTTCCGTCCCGATTCCTGATCTAGTGCTGACCTTCTCTCATGCAGCAGCGAGAGGAATCCAAGATGGCGCACGTAAAGTCCGCGAATCCTTTTAAAAGAGTAAATACGATCGAATTAAGACACGGATGTCACTTTTAATGCAATTTGAGGCGAGATGTGGATGGTTCTATGTTGATATATGTGTGTTTTAAGAGTCAAATGTTCCTGTTAAGTTTGGTTGAAGCACTGGTTCAGTGTTCCTGTTTACACACTATGCAGCAGGGTTGCCAGATTTGGTGGTTCCCGCATATTTTTTTCCAAGAGACTTGTAGGTATTAAATATACAGAAAGACAATAAACACAATCATGATAGCCCAAGTTGATTACATTACGTTTTTAGCCAAAAATTGGGAACCTATGGGAGCCGTGTGCTTCGATGTGAGTGGTTGAAAGCAGACTTCATTCAAGATAACGGACAAGTGGTCTATCCAATCACATACAAGGATTTTTTTTACAAGGCCCTGCCTTCTGAAATCCAACCACTATGGCTCAGTACCAGACTCATGTGTGAAGTGCAGCGAACTACATGGGTCTGGCCAGAGTCAGGCTATCAGACAGATGCACACACAATCGGTGCACCTCTAGTTTTATGTCTATCACTTTACTTCCTGGTTGTGAATGATGCAACTGTGAAATAAACTGGGTCTTCTCCAATGTAACAAAATTATTATTTACAAATTTATTTACAACAATACACTTTGTTTTAGGAGAGTCAATCAGTAAGTATCCTAGTGTGTTTGTTTTGAAAATTATGCAAAATGTTATTAGGTAATTGCTATTGCTATTTTTGAGTAATTGTAATGAGAATCAACACCAATGTAATATAATCATGTGTCTGTGGATTATGTCTGTCTTTATAGTAGAAAATCAAGCTGTTTCTTTTACCTTGTTGAAAGTGAATCCATCGTTGTGTGGAACAAACAAAGTGACGTCCGTGTTTCGCTGAGACAAGAACTCCACCAGGTTTTTACCGTTTTGTGATGAGCTGCTGTAGTCCAACAAGAACTACACCGAACAAGCACAAGGCAGAGGGAGGACTAGATTAAGTATGCATTGGAAACCACAGTGGCCATTAGAGGAGGGGGAGGCATACTCTGTAGAAGATGGAGAAGTTGGAGTTTGTGGCCAAAACGTCAGCCAGAACACCGTTACAGAAGTCTCCGTTGCCAACGAAGTCGCCAGGACACGAACAGGACACGTCTACGAACAAGACGGATGATGTGAAAGGGAAGAAACGGATAATAAAAGCATTGCAGTATCATCAACAAAACAAAAAATATTGCTACAAAATACATTATGCGATCCATCGATTATATTGGAAAGTTGATATAAAGTCACTAGTCCAGTCAAAAATAGAGTGTTATTATCAAATTAATTCCAATCAATTTTAACTACGTTGTTTATTATACGGCACAATTTACGCTGCACCTTTTGTGAAATTGTGTGTTTTTCCTATGCAGTATTAAAGCTGCACTAACCCACTTTGTGACTTTAAAGCAGAAGTTTGAAAAGGGCTCCTCTCCTTCTTTCTGCTCCCCTCCCCAAAGTCACGAAGCTATTTCCCCCCACCACCCCCTTCCCTTTCAGCCTGTGCTGTTGTTTACGGCGCTAGCGTCTCACAATATGGATTGCACATTTGAACGTGGATGGCGTGACCATAGAATGATAAAACCGGGAAGTACACTCACACACACACACATCAGAGAGAGGCACCACGAGTGCGCAGACAAAGCAGACGGTGACGTTTCCAACAAGGGAATCTGAAAACACTTGTGCTCAAGTAGATGACGTGAGCACAAGTCCAGTGCATAAAAAAATATATATTTTGAAAGAAAAGAAACCTGTCCACCTTTCCGTCGATGATGGGATTAAGATTTAAAGATACTTTACTCGTCCCACTGTGGGGAAATGTCAGTGTTGCAGCGCCTATCTTGAAGAGCACACAGCACAAGATAAATTGAGAATAACTCTATACTAAAAATGAAATCTCTAACTTTAGCACACAAAATAAGCAAGCATAAAATCTCTAGCTTTAGGAAACTTGAGCATATCGAAGATGGAAGAATTAAATACAAAAGCAGCAGAGCAGACTCCACCCATTTCCTCAAGGGATTTCAGACTTAACCTGAAGATTTGAGGAAATGTGTGGAGTCTGTTCTGCTCCAGCTTGGTCTGATATAAAACCTGCAGCGACACTAGTCCTTAGGAACAGGTCTGGACACCACTGGCCTAACAGCAAGAACTGAAAAGACTTGCATTTACCTGTTAATCTGTAGCAGTAGGCGTCGTAGCGGCTGCTCTGGTCCACTGGGTCTCTGTACAGCACCACTCCCACATGGTTGTCCCCACATTTGGCTGAAGGGAAGCGGATTGGATAGCCCACTTTTGCCCCCTCAATCCACCCGGCAGCACACAGATGCATGCCCAGCTGAAAACAACGACAGATCGTGTACAGGGCTATGTGAGTAGCTAACACTGCTCATCACCCTCAGTGCACCTTCCCCAGTGTCAAATGTGGGGGTGGCAGCATCATGTTATGGGGCTGCTTTTCTTCAGCAGAGACAGAGAAGAGTGCCAAGAGTCGATGGGAAGGTGGATGGAGCAAAATACAGGACATTATTGGACAAAAAGCCTCTGGAGCTGGGGATTCAAAGTTGTCTGTTACTTTGTTATGGTCAGTAAAGTAGTAAAGTAGAGTAGTATAAAAGTATAAATACTTCCGACCGGGATTTTGAAATATATACATACATGTAATTTATATATATTATTAATAAAAACAGCTGGAGCACTTAAGTAAGTAAGTAATGTTTATTTATATAGCGCATTTTACAGACCATGGTCACCCAAAGCGCTTTACAATTGTTCAGAGTTCAGATATTGTTCCATTCTCTCCACGCTCGGTGATGACGAAAGAGAAAAGCCGAACACACTGGAGCATCAAAGCCTCCAATCAACACCGTCCATTCACTCACTCATTTACTTTCATACCTATTGTGCATGTTTTTAGTGGTAAGGAAAACCGAAGCACCCAGAGGAAACCTACACAGACATGGGGAGAACATGCAAACTCCACACTGAAAGGCCCTGTTCGAACCCAGGACCCAGGGATTCGAACCCAGGACCTTCTTGCCGAGAAGCCACCGTGCCGCCCACTTTTCACTAACCATTTGTAAAACAGGAGACGTCTAACCTGCTGAGCGTCTCCCATCTGTTTGAAGCTGGCCAGAGCGCCTCCCTCGTCCTCACAGGCTTTTTTAGCTTGACTGAAGTTCATCTGGTACTTCCCTTGAGGAGACCGGAGGTGGAACACCCCCCCAGTTTTTGCTGCACACAGCATCAATGGAACATGTCAGAAATAATAACTTGGGTGTTTGTTGAACCAGGGACTCACTGTGGTAGTGCAGGTCTTTGCACTGAGCCACCGGGTCACAGTCACCGTTGTTCTCAAGGCACCGATCGACTGGAGGCTCAACCTCCTCCAAACACTGGACTCCATTACCCACGTACCCCGGCAGGCAATCGCAATTACGTTCATTCTGGGGAGAAGACGTCATTCATAGATTCATGGGGCTGTTGGTTTTATCCACGGTAATCTGCTCTTGAATTAACTACAATATGCAAACTGGACACTTCAGTCATAATTTTTCTTGATTCGTTAATTCTGTTTTGATTTTACTAACCGGTCCTGTGAAGCTGCATGAGGCAAAGTCACTGCAGCCTCCATTTGGCTCTTCAGTGCATCTGAAACACAAGATCGAGGTCAATCTCCTTCTAAAATGAACCAACTCCAGCTCAATGTAGATTAGCTGTAGTTTTTACTCCCATCTAGCATTAAGATAATTGTAGGGGATTGGGTGGTTTGAAGATAAAAGTTTGTCACCCACCGAGACGAACCCTTATCAAAGAGACAAGTCAGGCCCACAGCGCCTCCGTTTAAACTGGATTAAAAGACAATGGACAGTCTGCTTTCTCCGGCCAGACTGGGACCAATGTGTAATAACCCGCAGGTGAGAACTATCATCAAAGGACCCTACGCATTGTCAAGGAATACCAAAGACAGTGCCCCCACCAAACCCCCCTCCGTTTAACGTAGATTACATAATACATTGTAATCTACGGTACTACGGTAGCTTTGCAGGACAATATGTCGTCTTTGACAGTGGTCCCCAGCTCCAGGTCCTTTTTGTCCCTTATCAACCACTGTATTTCAAGATGGCGCATTGACATGTAGAGTCCTCTAGCCTCATGGACATTTATAAGTCATGACAACAATTCAAAAACAATAACAGAGGTAAATATTCCGTCTGTTATTTGTAAACATGGTTTTTCATTTGTAACAACTGCAAAAATTAAACAGAGTACCTTTAAATCTCCACATCTTCAATGGGACATGGGAAAAATTATAGAATTTTAATGGGAACTCAGAACCGTGTCAGTTCAGCGCTCTTTTTCTTTTGTACTTACAAATGAGCACAATATGTATAGCAATGGTTTTATCTGAAATATCAAAGTCTGTGAAAGTGTAAACGATTCCCCCTTTTTGCTTTTCACCTGTTGATTGGCTGGCATGAAAAGCCGTCGCCTTGGTAACCACTGTGACAAGTGCAGTTGACGAGGAGTCCGGTCTGATTGCAGTCAGCGTGAACGTGACATCCTCCGTTGTACTCAGCACAAAGGTCAGGAGCTGGGGCAGGAGAACTGGGTTAGACCACAGACCGTAGATGGACGCTGCTGACCTACTCGCTTGATGATGTATCAAAGGGAAGTGCTCATGGCGAAGTTTTGCTCCTTCTCCATTCATTTAGATTTCAAAGTTAATGCCACTAACACTGAAAAGGTTTGTGTCACACTCACTATTCTGGGCTGAAAAATGTGAGATATGACGCTCTAGAGCAGGTGTTAGGTCTGAATGCCTGGGTTTAAAAAATCAAAACTGTAAATGCTACGATTGCTGTTTTTTCAGGCTTCTGAAGTGCAAGTTTGTCAGTGCTCAACTGTGTTTATCAGTCCAGACACGAGATCAACAGAAGTGCAAGGGCCCGACCGGAAGCTCATTACGTAACTCTAAAAAAAACAGGGACGTTTGATAGATCACTGAGGTAATTCCAACAAGGCTAATTTGGTTACACTCCTTTGTCAACTGCCGTCTGCTGTGTCTTACCTGTCTGTGACAAGGCCCCAGTTTCCATAGCACCCTGAGGAAGAGACGCCGATTAGTTAGTTTCTAGGCTTTTAACACGGGTCGATGGGTTAAGGTAAAGCAGGTTCCGTACAACCAGCAGCAAAATCGGCCATAGCTGCTGAAGGTCAATCTTAGGCAAAGGATTAAGGAACGTCAAAATAGTTCTTTAGTAGAAAGGTAACGTCTTGGTAGCACCTAAGAGGGATAAAAGGACATTCGTTATAACCACTGGTTACCGTTTTCATTCTTTCGGCTAGCACTTGTGAGAGCCTATCTCTAAGACTTTCTATAAGATTTTCTTGTTTTGACCATCAGGCTAAAATGTCCATAATCTGGGAATTAAAGATAGTAGCAAAAAACAACTGGAACAATACATAGCATCAGTGATAAAAACATGGGACACGTTGCAAATAAAAAGTTTAGTTCCTCTTTAATTGAGATCACACTACCATTTCTTAAGTAAAGTCCTAAAATTGCACAGCAGTTACCTCAGAGGACATTTAACCAAAGTTTTAAATTTGCCACACAGATCATAGACATCAAACAGTCCAAACACAGGAAATGCTGAGCCGTTTCTCCAGCAGGAGGTCAGGACACTGGTGCACTCTGGTCTATAAGCCGATGCCTTGGTCTACTGCCCTCTTACATCTTCATTTAATTACAAGACGATGTTGGTTTCTTATGGTTTGCGTTCAAATTGATCTTTTGTTGCTCTCTGTTCCCTTTGCCCCGCACTATCATTGACATGGTACCCGTTTTTATCATTGTATCGGTATGTACTGTAACGGTTTTATAATCTGTATCTGTATGTACTGTAGCTGTTTTATATCGTATCACCTGTAACTTACATTTGCTGCCTCTTTTATTCTGACTCATATTCTCCGCTGCTAAAGTAAAATCTAACCTCTGTTAAATACTTTGAACCAAGTGTCAATTATAGCTCCAGAGTATATTTTATTCTTATTTTTATCTTATTTTAATAATACTAGTCTATATCTTAAAGTGTACTAGAATTTGAATATGCTGTCTATCCAGCATATGGTAAATAACAATATGTGTTTATAATATTTCGGGTGTTCATTTTGATATGTTCAGCATGCATTATGTTAAAAAAAAACAGCTGTTGAAGTCGGACCTTTTCACAAAACTCTCGGGGGCGCCCAAATGGCGGCGATGGACGTAGGAGAATGACTCTCCGCCTAGCAGCAAGCAGATCTGGCTGGACAAGCTGTGGAGGTTTCACAGTCATCTGACACGGTATTATAAACATATTTTCCATCGTTTTGTACATAATTGTGCGCAACTCTTTTAACTTTTAGCCTTTAATTTTGTGAGAATTCAAGCAAACTAGGGAAGCGGCAAGTTAGCTAACTTCCTACTTGATATCATAAACCATGCGAACATAGGCTTCATATTGTTTTTACCTTAAGCCAGTCACACTTTGGTAGCCTTAGATTTATTTACACAATGTAATTGTAATATCAATAAATGCTAATCAAACTACTTGATTAAATAAATATTTTTACTTTTTGAACCAACAAGTGCAGAAGTTGAAAAACATAGATTCATGTGATGCAATCATGATAAAAAAATGCTATTAAACCGTTAATAGGTGATAGCATTTAGGGATAATACAATGTCCATTGTGGTAAATAGATCTAAGGCAACGTGAGACTGGCATAATGTACAAACGAATATAAGCCTTGTTAGCATGGTTTTATGATATCACGTAGTGTTGTAACATGGCCAACACTAATTAGCTTGAATCTCACAAATAAGCTAAAAGGTTAAAAGAGTTGCACTCACTATATATGATACAACACGGATTGAAAATTCTGTTATACATTGTTCAGATGGACAGTGAAACCTGCTTACAGTTTCAAGCCCAGACGGCTGTGCGCTGTGAGAGGTCTTCTCCTACGTCATCGATCGCCATTTGGGCCCCCCCTGCGTTTGTGAAAAGGTGCCACTTCAAAGCAGTTTTTTTAACATAAAACATCTGACATGTCAAATATGACCACTCGACAAATATTATAAACACCTATTGTAGTTATTTATTCAGGATAGCCGCATATATAAATTCTAGTACACTTTAAAAAAAAAGGACAATATAATTAAAATAAGAAAAGAATAAAAATAAAAATAAACTCTGGGCTATTAATTGCACTTTGTTCAGAAGTATTTACAGTATGTGTATATTTTACTTTCGCAGCGCGAGATATGAGCAAATAAAAAGACGCAGCAAAATAAGTTCAGTGATACAGGATTATTCAAACAGCTACAGTCCATACAGATACAGATTATAAAACCGTAACAGTACATACCGATACAGATTATCAAAACGGTTAATGTCAATGAGTAGTGCGGGGCAGAAGGAAACAGAGAGCAACAAAGATCATTTGAACGCAACCATAAGAAACCAACATCTCGTTGTTAATGACAGATGTAAGAGGGCAGTAGACCAAGCATCAGGCTTATAGACCAGAGTGCCCCGTCGTCCTGACCCTCCTGCGGAGAACGGCTCTATGCATTCCTTGTGTTTGGACTGTTTGATTCTATGATCTGTGTTGGCAACCATTGAATAAACTTTGTAAAGTCCTCTGAGTTATACTGCTGTAGCAATTTAGGATTGGCTTACTTAGAAATGTAGAGTGAATCTCAATTTTAAAGAGGAACTACAACTTTTAATTTGCAAACGTGCCCATGTTTTTATCACAAGAAGCAAAGTATTTTCAGTGGTTTTTACCTACTATTTTATTCCCGGATTATGGGACAATTATAGCCTGATGGTCAAAAAAAACAGAACTTCTTATAGAAAGTCTAATATATCTTCTCTCACAAGTGCTTGCCGAAAGAATGAACAACGTTTGTACCCTGTGTTTAAACGCATGTCTTTTATCCCTTTAGGTTGCTGACCAAGACGTTACTTTCTACAAAGACTATTTTGACGTTCTTATCCTTTGCCAAAGATTGGACTCATAGCTCTTGCCGATTTTTGCTGCTGGTTGGATACCTTCTTTATCCTTAACCCATCGACCGTGTTTAAAAGCCTATGGAACAACTAACTAATCGCTTCTCTCAGTGCCTTATGGAGAACTGGGGCCTGTCACATACAGGTTCAGACACAGCAGCCGTCCTTGACAAAGAGTTAACCAATAGCCTTTTGTAATTATCCTCAGTGAATTCAATCAGAACGTCTGTTTTTTTAGAGTTACGTATGTGCTTCCTGGTTGGCCCTTGGCACTTCTGTTGATCTCGGTGGTTGTACTGATAAGACACAGTTGAGCACTGACACATTGCACTTCAGATGCTTAAAAACAGGGCCAATCGTCGCATTTTACAGATTGATTTTTTAAAACCCCGGTCATTCAGATATTGTTGTTGAGTCATGCCGTACTCAAAGTGTGAGTGTGGGTTTGGCAACATTTGTGATGACTGACCCAATGAATTCACTGTAGTAAGGACACGTTTCCACTTGTACCGTTTACATTGTACACAAAAATGTAAGTATTATTACTCGGTGCCTTTCGCGACACTCCAGGCTGCCTGACCATAGCAAGTAAACACGTACATTTAAAGACTGTGTAGTTCGGGCCGTATTGGATGTGAGTGACTAGGATTCTAAAAGATGAGTTTTGTGGGTGGATTTGAAGTGCGTGAGTCAGTCAGTCGGTGGTATACGGAGGTCAGGGTGGAAGAGCGCCAGAAGAGGGGGCAGGAGCGGCGGACGGCTCTTACTCCCCGTTTGTTGATGAGGCTGGAAGCGACGTGGATCAGATAATTGTTTTGTATCAACCATATCAATTGATCAAGTTTGTATATAAAGCATGTTTCATTCAGTGCAACCAACGTGCTTTACACAGGACATAAATCATACAAAAAATTACAAAAACATTTAAAAAGGTGTAAGGTAAAACTTAGAAAAACTATAGAAACTCGACATACCAAAACTCAGTCATACGCACCACTTTCAGCGATGGACTTTAACAATTGCTAGAGATGAGTCCTCCATCCTCATTAGGAAGGACTGTTCCCGATTGTTGGGGCATAAACCTGAAACGCTGCTCTTCATGTTTCGTCCTGACTCTGGGCCACCCCGCAGGAGGCCAGTCCTGTAGTTCTGTTCATAGTCCCAGTTGGTTCCTATGGCCCCAACAGTCACCGATGTACTTTGAGTGCCAAGACATGGAGTAACCAAGCAGAGTTTGCTTCAAAGTTCTTTTTTAGAGATTACTGTGATTTATATAAAACAATGAAAGAATATATGCCTAGAAAATTCAATCGTCCAAGTAGTTTCACCAAATGTGCTCTCAAATGTGAATGGGTGTTGAACATGGAAGACAGCAATATGTTCGAGCTGTGCTTTTAAATCATTGCCTGGAGGCACCGGGAACCAGATCCATTACAGTTCCGTTCAAAATTAGACTTTAATCACCAACGACATTCTGGGTCGGCTAAAGGACATAGCATTTAGCACAACCTCCAGTTTAATTGTGGTCTTATTCTTTTTGTAGTCATTGTTCCTGTATAAATTAACCCAAAATGCTCGAAGGGGTTGGCAGCAAGGATGTAAGAGCGGGACAGGGGCGCAACCAAATCAGTGATGCAAGGAATACTTGCCTCCAATACACATCATTATACAGAGTTTATATGCATCTGTTTGTGCTGCCTTTATTTGGGCAATCTCCTCATCCCAATAGGAACCCCAGTTTTGTTAATTAACCAATAGTAATATGTCACCATAGTCATATTCTTAGCCATTTGGACTGAAGTATGAGATTCCCACTGGTTGAAGGTCTCGCTCTTCTTGCGTTCTTGGGCCCTATATTTTGACCATGTTGAAATCTTTTGACATGACGCTATGCTCTTGACCTAGCGACAGGAGGCCAGTAGCTGTAGACATCACAAATTCTGCTTTCATCCTTTTAATATATGTTTTTTTCATGGGCCCTTTTTAATAACATTGGTCCCAAAATCCCACACAGGAAATCACTTATTGATTGAGTA